AGTAATATTTCTTCTGCGGCAGGAGGAAGCTTATGCATCAGAGTAATTGTTCTCTTGTTCTTTTGGGCTTTTCTCCAAAACCCATTAACTGAGTGTTTATTGCAACAATTACAGAGGATGTGTCTTTAACAATGTAAAGACCTGAAGCATACAGTAACTCTTAAACTGCTGGCCAGGTGTAGAAAAAGGTTGTAGTTTGATGATTACTTAGCATTCTGGGGTGGCCTGTAACATTTGTTCATTGAGATGTGGGGACCTCCCTGCAGTGGAATGCTGTTTGCACTGGTCAACATGTTTGGAAACAGCAGCAGTATACATTTAGCCACGGGTTTGAAACAAATCCTCTAACACTTCATATGCTGAAATACAACAGTGTGTCTAAAGAGAACCTTTTCAGCTGCTTCCTTTATGGGTCTCAAGTATTTCTATCCAAACTTTCATGCTAAAATGCAAACAGATAGTTTGTAACTACAATGCCATCATACCTCCCAGGATTGTTGAAGGAAAGATAGTGTATATGTGAATTTTACAAGTATGAAGATAGTAAAGTACAATCACTTCAAAGGGGTGTCCTTAAGGGCACTCTGATTTTATGAAGAGTACTACTCAGCCGTGAAGGGAGCTTTCTGAAGTCTCAGGAAAAAAAACAGATGATGCTATCAGGGTTTTTTTTAATTTATTATTTTAACAAAAGCCTGTGCTACAAACTGGGGTTGTTGAGTTTGAAAGATTTTGGGCATTTAACCTAATGCCACCCCTGCACAGGTCAGGGGCTCTATTGGGCCACCCCAGTCAAAAAGCTCTGGACACGTCCCTCACAAAGTTAAAGAAGTACAATAATACATTGTTGGAATACCCATTCAGTTAATTCCTTTAGCACTTTCACATCTAAGTAGCCTATATTTCCAGGTTGTGAAGAGGATCACCAACAGGGTCTATCATTAAATAATTCACAGCCAACCCTACAGCCAGTAGTGCCACACTGCAATCAAAAAACTGCCTTTTCAGTGACTTGATGACATTAATCAGTAATATTTTACATTAAAGGTTTTTAATGACCCCTGAATCTGTAATCCAACCTGTATGAATCCAATTTAATAAAAACACACAATTTTTTTTTTTAGGGGAGATATCAGGAACCCAGTGCGTTTACTGTGCCTGGACAAATGCTGTGAGGGGACTGTGCTGCAACAAATACACAACAGAACAAAGCAGAAAATAAGAGTGCATAACTTGCCTTTACAGGGATGAAACTTAATATTTGTATAATTGAACTGTTCTGTATCCCATAAGGGTGTAAGACTAAAGCATGACAAATGGCTTGCTCGCTCCCTGGCTCCATCAGAGAGGAAGAGTGCTGATGCCATGTATTGATTAGTTCCACATTCTTTTTTTATTTAGAGGATGAGGACATAGTGTACTTTTCAAACATGCCGTATGCAGACGGAAGGCCTGTAGATGAAAAATATATTTATGTTGTATAATCATTGCTATTGTTTGTGCCTCTCATATTTATTTCCAAAATTTAAGTTTGTTGTGGTGGTGGACGTAATACACACACCCAGGAACCCTCGGTCCTGTGTGTAGGATTTAGTGGCATCTAGCGGTGTAGTTGCAGATTTCAACTCCCTCGCTTCACCCTCCCCAAGCAGAGACTAGGCCACAAAACATGCAAAAAACACAAAAAGCCCTATCCAGTGCCAGTGTTTGGTTTGGTTGGACTACTGTACAAACATGACGGTTCCTATATTAATATATACTAGTACGTCAGTATATAACTTGCTCCCCTTTACTATTTTGTCTACTAAACTTCTATGATTTTATGATTATTTGGGACCTCATACAGCACTTGATTGTATTTTATTTTGCTTTTCAGATGTAACCAAAGGTGAACTCATGCAATTGTTTATTTATTTATTTTTATTTTTTACCGTACCAGGGTTGAGGGTGGGGGTTGGTGAGGGGTTCTGATTTTGTATGTCTGTTCCTTTGTTTGCCTTGTTTGTGAAATTATACATATAAAAAAGGCTTCAATAAAAATATCTTTAGAAAATATAGACACTGATGAGCCACTATGTTGGGTGTATGTAGTAGTTTCCTGTTATACAGGGCATCACAAGATGTCCCCAAAACTAGAAGACTCATCCAGTGATCTGTGGTTGACTGCTACCATCTAGTGTTTACAATACAAAATTACATTTTGAGTGTCTGACTCATGCTCACTTTATCAGTTAAAGGTATTTATCTGCCTGAGCTTTACATGGTCTATCCTGACAAACTAGCTTCTGGATCAACACAGTTTCCTGCTTTAATAACATGTAAGGAGCATAATAATGCTTTCTTTTATCTAAGTCTTGCAGAAGTTAGGTCTCTCAACAGTGTTTATGAATTCAATTCAACTCAATTTTATTTAGCGCCAATTCATAAAGTTTTTCGAATAGAGCAGGTCTAGATTGTACTCCTTATAACATTATTATTACTGATTATCATGACCCCAGTCCTCTGTTTAACCACTGTGCAGTCCATATTTGAATCCTCCCCTTTAGTTTCATAGAATGCCATTTAGCACGAGGCTATCCAAAAGCTGTAAGCAGCAGGCAATTGCACATTTTTGTGTGGTTGTGATTACATGGACTGTTGCAGATGCAGGCTACTTCTGCAACATCTGCAGGACAGTGAATATAGAGCTTGGCTGAGGTGGCAACTGCCACTACTAAAAAGTTTGGTGTCAAATCCTGTCAAATATAAGACATTTATTTAGATTACTTTTCGAGTTGATGTGTTAAAAACATACATACAGAACATAACCGAAATCAGTTTAATGAGCTGTCCACAGATTTGGAAAAAAACAATGTATTTATTTATAATGCTACCATTAGATATTTCTATTCAATGCTTTACTAATGTGCCACAATAATATAATGTTCTCTATTTCAAAAGGCTTTGGGGGCTTTTCCAAGCAAATACTGGTTGTTTGCAATTAAATCAGCATATATTTCTGCCACCCCTAGTGTCCATGCTACCCTCTGGCCACCCAATGAATATTTATCCAGAACCACCCCTACTACAGGAAGAACTTGGTGAAAAGGGAATTCTGCTGATCAATTACCATACCAGTAGAGGAATGTATTCCTCTTAAAATGTCATGTTTCTACATGGACAAACCAAACCCCCTCTTGCTTGCCCCTCTAGACAGGGCCGTTTTTTTGCGAGTTTCATGGCCATGTAGTTTCTCCTACACACCTGGTTCAATCAAGAAGTCCATTGGTAGCAATCTCTCACCACTAGATGCCACTAAATGCTGGTCCTTGAAATACTGTAAATGTATTTAACTATTTTCAACCTCTGCCTCTGTGCTTTGGTAGGCTGGTTGCAGATGCTTTTTATATATATATTTTTTTGGCACCCTGGGATTTGCAAAGACGTCTGCAGACAAGGAAACTCCATGCCTTGAACTCTCTCCCTGAGAAACATTAATCACACCCACACAGATTACCAGGAATTGTCACATGATAACTAAAAGATACAAAAACTAACAAAACAAGATGAGTGATGATCTTTTTTTTGTTTTTTATATTGAGATGACTTTGTAGAAACTCAGAGAATTAAAACACAGCATGCTGCCCTACTCAGAAACTACGCTCACAACGAAACAGAGAAAACTTGCTTCAGACTTTGACTATCCAGTCAAATGCATTATATATAGAACAGCAGCTATGTGCCTATATAGATATATAGAATATGTATTCTTTTAGTAATTTTCATGGTTTAAAAATCATGACCAATTCTTTGACCTATGACCCCAAAAAATGCAGATAGTGTACTCTGCCTTTGTTTTACCTGATACAGATATAAAGGTAGAGCAAAGGCAAAGTGCAGTAACCACTGTGTTGACTGCATTCACAGTGCAAGTCTTAGTGCTCAGTTCTTATTTATTGCTCAGATCCAATTCCAGTGTGAACAGGTCATGGTCCTAAAGTGACCCACATTACAAATGTCAATCTAGAGTGAAAAGTCACACGAATTCTGACTTTTCACATCGCAAAAAGTGAGCTCTGTATCTGCTTGGAACCACATATGAAAGTGGCCCAAATCTGAATTGAAAAGATGACTTTTGCCTGCAGTGTGAACATATGATTAGTTGACCTAGTTTTCCTGACAAAATCTTTTTACATTAAATCTGAATATCTGTATAAAATATGATTTTGCAACATAGTGTACAATGTTTACACTTGATTATGGTTGTTGCTCCCTTTAAACTAATGCCAGTGCACTCCTTGTCCCGTCTAACAAGCTAGCTAGCTAGCTAGTGCTAGCACAGTGACAAACTATTAATACTATATTTTATGAGCGACTTAGCGATTCCCAGATGAGAACCTTGGTTTGTCCTGAAACTGGCTGAAATACAGGATTTATTAACAAAGGCAGAGCGCAGTCCCTACACTTAATTCAGTTTGCCTTGGTTACTGCGATTTCTACAGCAAATTTCATCAAGACTGACTTTTTTTGATTTTGAAGATTTAGTTACCTCAGTTTGACTTTGAAGAGCAGTAAGGTAGGACAATGATCCGCTGGCTGGATTGTACATGTCAGCACTCAATAAGTTGTATCATAATAGACCCATCATCCTCTTTCTGGTGTTATCCCTGGTTTGGGGTAAGTCTAATGAAGCTAACTGTGCCGAGTTAGCTTAAATGAACACAATAGCTTGTACAAAATGCTCACTTACGCGGTTCGCTTTGTTCTACTTCTTCCACAGGTGGCAGAAAACGAGCGACTGTTTGGCAAGTGACACGGTTTTCAAGTGGAAAGACAGTCCTGCGAGACGAGAAGCAGCCATCAAGACACGATTGACGTTTGTTTTAAGAGGAGTCACGCGACGTTGGACTGAAAAGAGACTTTCACGGCACGAGGAAACAAACGGGTCTTACAACACAATAAGGTGAAGAAAGGCATTGCAGTTGGACTTCTAAAGTTGTTTTTTATTTTGAAAATAGAAAATGAGGTGTCGGTTGCACAAAAGGAATCTGCTCGCGCTGCTATGTGTTTCCTTTGGAGTTGTGACTCTCCTGTTTTCATCATGTAGGCCATTAGTGGTCAACAATGACACCAGTGGAATTTATTAATGTTCTCAGGAAATCACGGCATGCTTCTGGGGGACACGGTGACAGTTTAACTTCGGCTGTCCCTTACCATTATTGACTCAGGTCGAGTTTACAGTCCAATTACAAGCAGTGTGTTCACAATGCAGATAGGGTTTCCAGGGGAGCCTCAGCTGCGTGCTGGTTGTGCAGGTCCACAACAGCCTGAGTACCTTCAGGCCTGCCTCGACTCAAGTCACTGGGAGAAAGCTGCTGAGGGTCCACAGCTTCCTCCTCATCTTTAGCCATGACTATTTTTCGGAGGAAATAAACGCCATGCTGCAAGGGATAAGCTGTTCTGCAAAGTACTGCAGATTTATTTTCCCTTGCAGCATTCAGCTGTATCCAGCAGAGTTTCCTGGCAGGATCCACGATGAAGACTGCCCCTCTCAGACATATCCGAATGGCCGACGCTCTCAAAAACAGGATGCCTTCAACGCAGAACACCAGGCAACTTCCTAGTGGACACTACACGGGGGGAGGCCTTCATGAACAACCAAACACCACTGAGTGGGGGAGCTGCACTGTTGGTGTGGGACGGCTTGCGGGCGAGATGCAGGGGCTACAGTGGCTTTGTACTCTTTCTGTGGAAGGAGGGAGACAAACTAACATCTCTGACCTGCTCTCGTTCCATTTCTTAAACTCTAATGATTGGTACAAGAGCAGCTGGCCAGGACCAGCTTGTGACATGCTGCGCTAATTTTGAGGTAAACCCACAAATGGCTTAGACTGATTTCAACAGTCCATTAAGTGTTGACCACTGGGGTGGAATAGTACACTAAAACAGTCAACATACGGTCATTGGCATTGTCCTCCGAGGAGGTGTTATTTAACAAACTGATGGTCCTCAGCTGCAACATGACGTAAGTTCTAGCAACTAACGACGACTACAACGTTGGATGACTACAAGAGCAGACCCTAGGCAGCACCCAAATACCTCTGGATGACCTGGCATAATCAAAGGCCCCTCAAAGTGCTTGCGGCACAGGGGCTCCAGGGTTTCTCCACACCAAGGAGACTGTGGCCTTTCACCAGGAAGGAAAACTGCAGGCCGAATGCGGCCTCACAAAGGTCGAGGAGGGCCTTCAGCGGCCAAAGAGGGCCTCTTTTTCTGCCATCCTCTTGTTTCTTAGTGGTGCAGAGGGCAGTGGTGCACAAGGGGCACATGAAGAACGGAGGATGGGAGGACGTTCCGAGACCATATTCTGTGCAATAATGTACGGCCAAAGCGTCTTTGAACTATAACTTTTCTTCCTAAGTAATGGTGGGTAAAAATGTTCATTGGCTATCTGGCAGATGTGCCATTCATACACAACTTTTCACGGTTTCAGGAGGTGCCGTGTGTTGTGTTTTCTTTTAAGGGTCTTCCTGCGAGGTCTTCCAAGAAGTAAGGGACCAAATCAAGTCCACGCATGTGCATGACACAGCGAGACTTGGAACTTGTTTTTAAATCTTTTATTTTTCATTCACCAAAGCTACAAAGACTCTTGTTAATATTTTGTTATGTTAAACTCATGTGACCAGGTTTGTTTATCTCTGGCGTGTCTTACAGGCCAAAACATTAGATTAGAATTTATTGCACCAGGGGATGGAAACAAGAGTATACCATATCAGTGGTCATATTCACCACCACACACACACCAAACACACCACACAGACACACACACTGAATTTGCATTATGTCACTAAATAAATATTCCTTAGCTGACAACACAGCAGCAGGCATGTTAATTAAAAGCTTTAAATGTGTTGGTTTGTGGGTGAATTCATGTCATTACTTTCTGAACCATCTTGTTGCTATGTTTTTAAAAAATGTTTTAATTGGTACAGTTTCAAGTGCAACAACAAAAAGGCCACATGTAATGTACAGACATACAGGTTTATATGAAAATGTGTATGACAATCTGAAATATTTGGGACAGTTGTTGTTTATACAAAATCTGTTTCTTTGAAGTTGATCTTTAATGTCAAAATGATATCATGAACATATGGCATTTGTGTTAGTGAATGTAACCTTCAGCTTCTGGTCTGCTATAACCAGGGGTCTTTATTTTTTCAGTTTTTGAGGTGAGGTCAACTGACACCACTTCAATCAGTCTCCTACTCCCTGCTGAATTTGATCCCTGGTAGCAACAATGAGAGCTGGTCTGATACTGCATTTTCTTTTAGTTGCAATTGTGGTATTTGCTTTCTGATTGGTGAAATGCAACTTTTTGGAGTCTTGTACTGAGAGATTTCATTTAGAATGAATTGTACTGGGATTTTATAAGAAGAAAGACAGATGTGTCTCTCCTGGCATTATTTTTAATAGCTAGTGACACTTATTATTAAATATTCAAACTATAGCTGAAGTTGCCCTTTTATACAGCTGCTAAAAACAATGACCACATGAACTCATTATCAGCCTTAAAGCTGGGGAACATAAGTGCCTTCCTTACTTTGCTGCCTAAAGTTGTTTAAAAAGAGATTTTTGCAAGGTGCCTGGATAACAAAATACTTTTATGCATGTGTCAGTGCTGGCTTGTAGTTCTCTGAAAGATATTTTTGTAGTGCTCTGTATTATGAGATTTTTGAGGGAAAATGGAATGTGAGATGGTAATTTCACACAAATTCACTGTACAGTCAGGTAAAAAGATTGCAAACTCGTAACGAGTTGACAAACACTCCAGAAGGAGCTGGTATCAACGTCATGTTGGCTGCCCCTGAGGCGTGCATTATGGAGATTCACTGCTTAAGAAGATACAAAAAAATGTGATAATGAAATCAATGATATTTGATTTATGTGAAAAGTACAAATCAGTTCTTAAGGGAGTGGCAAAGGGGGCCTAATACACAAAGATGATTTTGTGAAATTGTTACTCACATGGTGCGCGGATGTTTGAATGATTTCTTAGTTGGTGTGAGATGTACAGTTTTGAGAATAAGACAACTTTTTTTTGCTTGTTTCTTTTCTGATATCACTTGAATAGAGTTCACGTTTGTTTACTCGGTGTTTGCCAATGGGGAACAACATAAAAGGCTGACTTTTCATTGCTTGTCTCATGGATAAAAAAAATAACAGTTATAGAGTTGATATGCAACTGTAAATTATTAGGGTGGTTTCCTGTAAATGATTGTATAATTTGATTCATATTCAGCCAGTTTTCAGTGGGTACATTTCCAGTTAATTCTGATAGAAACCTTGAGGTTTTAGGTCATTACACAGCAGGATAACTGAACACACAAAAATTAAAATCTGCCGCCCAGAGGGCGTACAATTTGGATCTCTGTCAGCTTTTTCAGCCGTCCGTTATATCAGAAGTTTTTCCAGAGAAATTCTTTTAAAAGTCAGCAGCTGCTCATGAACTCAACACAAACTGATGTCAAGTAAATCTGAAAATATTGTCTTGTGTTTTGCCTATAATTAGTACCAAATGAGTTATTTCCATTATACACCCAGGGCAATCATGAGGAAATTGCAGGAGAGTAGAAAAAAACATTAGTCATGATAAGCTAGAACAAAACTGTCGATGTCAACTTCTACTAATCTGAAATTATTGTTATTGACCAATAATTAAGGCAAATAAATATATCTGGGAGAAAATATAAATACACCAATACTAGTTTTGTCATTGTTGAGTTTTTTTTTATTTAACCAAATACAAATACAAAATCATAAGATTTAAATTATACAAAAAACACAAATTTAGTATATAGGTCATACGCCATGACTGTAATCTTTACTATTTTATTATCTGCAGTAGTGAGTTACTGTAGGCAATGCTGCTAAACAATTAACAGATCATTTATTGTAAGTTTCCATGTATGTGATAAAGAACTTTGATCTGTCAGGTTGTTAGTTCACTGGATTTCTGTATGGTTCTGTGGTCACTTACTCATATCACGGTGTATACTGGATTTATCCATCTCTCCCACTCATTTATAACACATGGCTTATCAAGTAGCACAGGTATTCTCCAACATTAGTGTCCTATTTAAGCCTGATACTGTCCCCGTATATGACACCAGTCCCAGCATCTCACATTCCACCTCCTGTTGTGAACACCCCCCCCCGCGTACCCTTTTGTTATGTGTTTAGGTGAGATTTCTAGCAGCAAAATGGGTGCAGGTTCAACCAGTCAAACCTGAACAGGGGACCTGAAGGGAAAGAATATTAGGCCCCTGAGTGCTGAGCATGTTCCCGTTCAGTCCAGAATACTTCCTTTAAAAAAAACATCCTCATCCTTTTATGTACATTTTATAAGCAACTGTGCAGCTTTGGGCTGGAACTGAAACCCCTATTGTAATGTCAGAGGAGACCTAAAAGGTAACTACACAGTCACTAATTACTTACATACATTAATAAGAGTTGTTCCGATGTTATTGCAGTAAAGGTAATTACTTTATACGAAACATTTCCCTCCTGTCCACTATTCAAATAGGGCCTGATTTACATTTCCTCCTCATATTACACAACTGTATGTAGGACAATGATTCGTTGAGCTCGAGCTCAGTCTCTCCCCCGTTGGCTGGATTGTACACGTCAGCAGTCAATAAGTTGTATCATCATCACAGAGTCTTCATCCTCTTCCTGGTGTTAGCCTGTGACACTTTCTACCTAGTTTGGGGTAAGTGTAATGAAGCTAACCGCGACGAGTTAGCTTTTCTCTAACGCCAAATGAACACATAGCTTGTACAAAATGCTCACTTACGCGGTTCGCTTTGTTCTACTTCTTCCACAGGTGGCAGAAAACGAGCGACTGTTTGGCAAGTGACACGGTTTTCAAGTGGAAAGACAGTCCTGCGAGAGGAGAAGCAGCCATCAAGACACGATTGACGTTTGTTTTAAGAGGAGTCACGCGACGTTGGACTGTTAGTAAAAGAGACTTTCACGGCACGAGGAAACAAACGGGTCTTACAATGAGGACGCGCGCGATAAGGTGAAGAAAGGCATTGCAGTTGGACTTCTAAAGTTGTTTTTTATTCTGAAAATAGAAAATGAGGTGTCGGTTGCACAAAAAGAATCTGCTCGCGCTGCTGGGTGTTTCCTTCGTAGTTGTGACTCTCCTGTTTTCAACACGTGTGCTGTTAGTTTCCGACAGTGACACCAGTGGAATTGATAATGT